TACCCGCGCACCAAGCCGCTCATCTCCAAGAAGATGACCAAGCACATTGTCGGCCAGAGCTTCTTCCAGCTCATCGTGCTTTTGACGATGACATTCTATGGCGACATCATCCTCGGTGTGCCGTCGGGGTACAAGACGGGCCCGTCGATCCACTACACGATGGTCTTCAACACGTTTGTGTTCCTCCAGCTCTTCAACGAAGTCAACGCGCGCCGCATCCACGACGAGCTCAACGTCTTCGAAGGCTTCTTCTCCAACAAGCTCTATATCGGCATCTCGGTGCTCCAGGCCGCGCTCCAAGTCGTCATTGTGCAGTTTGGTGGCCTCCCGTTCAAGTGCAAGCCGCTCTCGTCGACGCAGTGGCTCATCTGCCTTGGCATTGGTGCGGCGTCGCTCCCGATCGGCCTTGTCCTGCGCTTGATCGAGACCAAGGACATGCCCAAGGGCATGGGTCTCCTCCGCGACGCCGAGCCGACGGAAGGTTCGACCGAGCGCGGAAAGGAGCTTTGGAGCCGCGGCGTCATGCGCGTCCGGACGCAGATCCGGGTCGTCAAGGCGTTCAAGCGCTCCATGGGCCGGCGCCAGCTCGCACTCAACAACTAGACGATGGGGTATTTTGAGCGAAATCCAATGTGTTGCTTGGCGTCCGTCGTTTAGCACGAGGTTTATTACGAACGGCTGTAGCATACTGAGCGCTGCGTTTTGTACGGAATGGGTAAACTTGGGCGCCGGTAGTGAGCGCTGACCAAGGTTATTCCCTTGGCGCTGACCGACGCCTCGGCTTCATTCGCCCAAGCCGAGAAGCCAAAATGTGTCGTGTGACGACGACGCCAAACGTCCATATTGCCCGTTTAGAGGACGAAGGAGCGCGCTTGGTCGTTGCTCCTGCGTTGTCGGCAGTGTTTCAATGAGCGCAACTGCCTATCAACTGAATGGAGTAGCGTGGTACAAGGCCATCAATATCCAGCCTTGGTAGTGTATCAAGTGGCGCATTGACGACGACTGCTGGATCGCCACACCAGTATGCAGCCTTCGTAGCGTCTCTCGTCGTTGCCAAGACACAGCACGCTACCAACCATCGCGTACCACTCGCTCGTACGTGATGTGCATGGCAAGAGGTCGTAGCCGGCTGCAACAGTGTGATCGAAGACTCTTTGATGACATTGCTGCAAGCGTCCTGGCGTCAAGACAACGTAGATTGGGCTAAATGCATCTCTCATATCCAATTCCAT